AGTGCTGAGAAAAAGGGAAGGTTTTCCTGCTGAAGTCCTTGGTGGGTTCAAACTTTGGATAAATCAGGGATAAATTGTCCCAGTATGCCCTTGTGTTTGCTCCTATCCACCCTGTGCAGGGCAGGGAGAAGCTGAGCTGGGTGGGTTTGGGGTGGGAGCAGTGCCTGTCCCTTCCTGTCCCAAGGGCAGCTGCCAGGGCTGTCGTTGTCCTTCTTTAATGTTGCACCTTTTAGGCACAGGGGAAACCCGGGTGTCCTTGGGAGAGCAGTGCTGGGTCTGTTCCCTGCCAGCAGCAGGGTGTTTTTCTCTCTGGTGTGTTGTAACTACTGTTTGCAAAGCGCTTAAGCAGCCCGTGTAATCTAACGCTAAGACGCTCCTTATCTGGCATTAGAAACCCTGCCGGTGGCGCGGCCTCGGGCAGAGCAGGCGGTCAGGGCAAGCTCCTCTCTGTCCGTTCTCCACTCTCCCATCTGCTCTTCATCCTTCTTCCCTGCCCAGACACCCTGGGGTTTGCAGCCTGGCAAGAGGCGGCTGGACTTCCATAAAGCTCGTCCCTCCATCCGTGCCTCTCTGGGTCCATCCTGAAGGTTCACTTGGGCTGTCAGGGAGTGGGGATCTCCAGAAATGGGATGGGCAGGGAGCTGTGACCTGGTGCCTCCCTGGTGTTGATGTGCATTGTCACACCTCTGTGCACCGAATCAAAGCAGTTCATCTGATTGTGCCTCCTCTCAACCAGTGGTTCTGTCCCTGGCTGGGGCGGGAGGTGATGGGGACAAGGACAGTGGCCCTTTGCATTTTGTGGTGGCTTTTTTCCCATACCAGTACTCCTCACTCTTTGCAGATATTTCCAGTGACAGTTGGAACTGCTGCTGTTCAGAGCTGATACTGGCAGCGGTGCAGAGGTGGGTGTTTAAAGGCAGGTTTTTCACGCCAGTTACTTTTTCATTTTCAAAGCAAGCTTCCCTGTCTTAGGCTCGTGCTTGTCTCTTGAATAATATGGTGGCATTAATCTCCTCTCTAAGAACTTGCTTAGCTCAACGGTTTTAGATCTGCAGCCCTTTAAATATTGCCAGTGGAGTGAAGGGGATTCCCTCTAGAGGGAACTTAAACCTATTAATAATCATTTGTCTGCCTTTTGTGCATCTGTTACAGGTAGTCTGCAATTCCCGGGGCTGCAGGCCAGTGGGTAGTGACCCCTGAAGATGCTGGTGAGGATGTGTGAGGTGTGGTGGGCTGAGTGCTGTGGCCCCACTGGGGACCTGGGTCCAGCCTGGCCAGATTTAGACCTTCTGGTAGCCTTTTTCCATCAAATGTCTGACTGGGAGACGAAGCTGCTGTGTCAGTGGGGCTGAGCTGTGGTCGGATACAGGAAAGGAAGTGTTGAAGCAAGCAGGAGAGATTGCAAATTGCTGAGCTGGACAATGCAGTTTAGTATCCTGCCTCTAAATCTTTCTCCATCCAGGCTTAACCCCAGGGCTGGCTTAGGTGGGGAAGGGAGCTGGAGTGGCAGTGGCGAGGTGATCAGCCAGCAGTTCTGCTGTGGCGGGCAATGAGGAGCAGGGGTGCTCACCCAAAGGGTGCTAGCAGGAGAGGAGTCTGCCTGCAGTGTTAAGGATGTGGCCCCATCTCTCTGGGTTGAACATTGAGGGTCCGTAAGCTACCAAACTCACGGGCAAATCTTGAGGTTGCTTCTCCATGAAGGTGGATGCTGGCTCCCTCTTGCAGCCTTTCCAAACGGAGAGGGAGATGCATGAGGGATTTCTTGCTGCGTCAGACCCATAGTTTTGAGCTCGACCTCCCAAACCTGGGCTGTGAGGTTGGGACAGATGATTTCTTTGGCAGCCGGGACTTGTGAACTGCCTGATCTTCACTGCTTGCAGCGGCAGCCAGATCTTTTGCACCCCATGATAAATCAACCCCTGCTGCAGTTGTCTGCTGGGACTGCTGACCCTTCCCTCTCCTCCGGATCTGCTTGCACTTCTTTGCTTATATTTAATCCTCCCATTGCATCCCTGCAAAATCCCACTGGAGGTTAAAGGGAGAGCACTGCAAGCTGCTGAAAGAGGTGGATTCATACCCTTTCAACCCCTCTGGTGTCCCTCTGCCTTTCCAGGGTGCTGGGGCTCCCTGAGGAGCATTTGTGGCCAATAACTCTGATCAGGGGGAAGCCACAGCCCCCAAAATACACCAGGGGGAAGTTTAGAGAAGCTTTTCAACCATTTTCCCTTTCCTCTGTCTTAGATTTGAAGTGCTTGATAGTACAGGGCTTCCCCAGCCACTGGTTGCATTCCCTGCCTGCCCTGGGATTGAATCCATCCCTATGGGTGCTCCAGGCTCCCGGCTGTGCCAGGGAAGCCGCTCGGATGCTGATTGTGTTTGTCAGGGCAGCCGGATTAAGAGTGCTGTGGCTAAGCCTCCTTGTTGACCCTCCTCTCCAGCAGAGTCTGGGCCAGGGCTTTGCTCAGAGGGCCACCACAAAAAAGCATTTTCAGAGGCTCTTTTCCCCTGTGTGGCTGTGGCTGAGCACCTGTCTGTGTGATGGGAACCTGCTGGTGCCACACAGTGTTCCTGGGGGCCTGAGGTCTGCATGTGGGACTCGAGCTGACATTTCCAGCTGGTGCCTTTTAAATAACCACCACGGTTTTAAAATGCACCTGATCAGCTTCTAAAAATCAAGTTAAAATGAAGTTTGACTCTGACTGTCACCTTGCCAGCCCTTGCATTTTTATTTTTCTTTCTCTATTTTATCATCGTGTTTCCCTTTTCCTTTTAGAAAAGCTGTTGGTCTCAATAACTTGTTTTGTGCTCTTGCACCTCAATGTGCTTCTTTCTCTGGCATGGGGCTGTTGGCTCTCACACAGCTGCTGGGGATGTGCAGGGTTTTGCTGGGCAATATGCAGCCATCACCTGCTCCTGCAGGGAAAAGGAGCATCCCTGCCCCACAGCATCGCCAGGAACCTCTCAGCAACCTGCTTGCAGAGGGTTTGCTCCAGCTGCAAACCGGCAGAGCAGGATTCCTACCTGTTTTTTTCCTTGGCAGCAGGTTCGTGGGGCGGGATGTTGCCTGCCCTGGTCCCAGCTCACACCTGGCTGCTCTAGGGGTCCAGTGCTGGCCCCCTGCCCAGGCAGGCGTTGGCTCCTTGCTTTGACATGGCAGCCTCCTGCCCTGGGGACAGTCAACAGCGTCTGCACAGAGATGCTGTCTCCACAGCCTGGTCATTAAGTACTGTAATTAAAAGATCTTAGAAGGATGGACTAACGAACCCCCCTTGGAAATGGCAGGTGGTGTAGGCGTGGAGCCCTATTCGTGGAGGGTGGTGTGAGGATGGATGTGGCATCCTGCCCATCAGCCTCCTGATGCGCTGGCACTTACTCACTGTCACCTACTGGCTGTCACTTGCCTGCCCACCACCGTGGGAATGTGGCTGCCAGCACCCACCTGAGAGATGAGAGAAATGGAGGGGGAATGGGATGGCATGGAAGCTTGATAATACAGTCCCGGTTCTCAGCATCCCTAAGAATGGTATCTGGGGAGGGTCATCTCCCTCTTTACGGGCACATCCCTAAAAGCAACAACCCCCCTGTCTGTGTCTTTTGGACTCGGAAAAAGACTTGGCCTTGAAACCCTGGTGTGGTGTTCTCCAGAGGATGCTGAATGTCCAGCCCCACCAGAGGGCAGGGAGGGGTGAGTTGGGGCAGGGCACATCCAGGGGAGCCAAGGAACATCCTCTCTTAGTCCTGTCTGGAGATCATCTGCCTGCACAAAGATAAATTACAAATCAATAAAGCCCAGTGCTCTGCCGTGCCCAGCACAGCTGGCAGTGCAGGTTTTGGTGGGTGGTGAAGGCAGTAATGGAGGCTGGCTGCTGGTGTCATGCACAGGGTCTGGGTGGATCTGCATCATGCTGGTGGGATTGGGAAGCAGAGCCTGGAATAGGGCTCACTGCTGGGAAGGGCAGGGATGACAGGATTACCCTGCCAAGCCCCAGCCTATAATGCACTGTTCAGATGGCCACGTTTAATCCCATTATGTGCCCAACTGGTGTTGGCAGGGCAGGCACTTGGCCACTGTGCCAGTGCAGGGAGCCCTCCCTGGCCACATCAGTATCTCCCTACCTGCTTCACCTCACAGCAAGGGGTGCCCATCCTATTTTTTCTTTCTTTTTTTTTTTTTTTTTTTTTAATGAGCCTTTCACAAGGAAGGGAAAAACATTCTCAAGGTCCCTTTGGCTCCACACGGGCACTCCCGTGTGCCTATCTTGGTGACCTTGGCTGGCAGCTCCCAGCTTGGCCTCCTGCCACTTGCCTTCCCACATCCCTCCCTGCCAGCCAGGCTGGGCAATGGGCAGCTTTTCCTCACCATAGCCTAGCTCCTGCTGGGAAAACAGGAAGAGCAAGGCTGCTCCCAACTGCTTGGTGTGACAGGGACTCATGGGAGACGGGGGGGTCCCTGTATTGCACCCTGGTGGTGCTGCCATGCCCTGGGCACACGGCACAGCGGGGGTCGTGCAGCATGCCTGCCTGTTGCCATCCCGGTGCTGTGTGAGCTCGCCGTGCTCTCCCAGCAAGCCCTGGCACGCCAGGGAGCTCACCCAGGGACCTGCCTGGCGTGAAGCAGAGCGTTGGCATTTGTAGTGGCACCATCCCTCCCACTGACC